CTTTAGATACAATTTTTGTAAATCTAGTTTGACTTAGAGACTAGTTTTGCCACAATTATATTTAAAATAATACCATTGTTGTTGTCTTACAGTAAGTAAAATTGATCATGAAATAGCTGACTGCATTATTCATTATTTAGATGTTTCAAATTATCAAAATATTGTGCTCAATTACTGTGGAATGATTTTGATATCCTTTTTGTTGAGATATACAAAAACTGATGGAAAACTACCTAGTCCTGGAACTTTGTGTATGGCAAAAGTGAATTTCTAGATTGAGGAACTAGAAACAGGTGCCTTGGGTTATAGGTTTTCCAAAGGTAGAAAATAGTTTCAAGACCAAGTTTGTGTACCACTGATGGTTCATAGAAATTGGCCATCCTTGTTTCAAGCAGCAGAATTCATTAAAAGTACATAAGCAAACCCTAATACTTTTCTATAATTTTTTTTTATCTAAAAAGTTGTTACAGTAGCCACGGGAACTGTCCAGGATCATGGATGATAAGGGAGATGCTCTTTACAAAAGTGAATTAATGGAGGAGGTGGTCTGAAAGAGACTTTCAAGATGTCATAGAGTTTAAGGCAAGAAGGGACCACCAGATATTCTAGTCTAACCTTCTGGATATCACAGTCCACCACCCACAAACTAAACAAAACCAGCAAAAATGAGATCAAAGTAACTCATCCTACAGAAGACTAGAGTATTATGTGATAGGCAGGCAATAGGAGAGACAAGATGCACCAGTGCTAGAAGCGAATACAGGCAGTCCCCGAGTTACGCGGATCCGACTTATGTCGGACCCGCAGTTACGAACGGGGATTTTCTCGCCCCGGAGGACTGGAGCGGCGGGACACCTGGTCCCGCCGCCTGCCAAAGTAACTCATCCTACAGAAGACTAGAGTATTATGTGATAGGCAGGCAATAGGAGAGACAAGATGCACCAGTGCTAGAAGCGAATACAGGCAGTCCCCGAGTTACGCGGATCCGACTTATGTCGGACCCGCAGTTACGAACGGGGATTTTCTCGCCCCGGAGGACTGGAGCGGCGGGACACCTGGTCCCGCCGCCTGCCTCCTCCAGGGCGAGAAAAGCTGCTCCCCCTCTCCCCTGGCTGGCGCAGCGG